GGGGACCAGATAGGAGGTGGGGGTCTTTGTGGGACAGAGGAGATGGGGTAGATGGGGGGGATCAAGTAGGGGATGGGGTTGGGGGGGTCTTGTGGGACACGGGCGACAGGGTGGGGTAGATGGGAGGACCAGGTAGAGCATGGGTGGGTCCTGTGAAGTAGATGTGGGGCCGGGCAAGGGATCTTATGGGACGGGGGAAGGGCATGGGGTAGATGCAGGGACCAGGGAGGGGATGAGGGGGCACGGTGGGGATCAGGGCCTATGAGACGGTGGGGGAAACATGGGGGTCAGGGGTCAGCCAGGGAGGGAGGAGGTCACATGTCAGGGTGGGGGCACTCACCCTGCTCTCCCCCCTGCCCAGGGGCCCTGCCCATCATCTATTGCACGCTGGCGTGCCGCCCGCTGCCGCGCAGTGCTGCCCTGCTGGCCTACTCGGGGCTGTCAAGCTACGCGCTGCTGTGTGCCGTGACGGCCCGCTCCAACGTGCGGCGCCTGCGGTCCTTTGCCTGGCAGGCCCTCTTCCGCTTCTTCTTCTTCTACCTGCGCTGGGCCGGGCTGGGCACTGGGCACCCATCCTCGCTGCGCTCCTACCTGATCATGGACGGGCTGGCCCTCCTGGGGGGCGTCATCAACATCTCCCGGATACCCGAGCGGTGGCGCCCAGGTCACTTCGACTACTGGTTCAACAGCCACCAGATCATGCACGTGCTGGTGGTGGTGAGCATCCTGCACCTCCACTGGGGGGTGGTGGCTGACCTGCGGTGGCTCACCAGCTACGTGTGCCCCCAGAACTGAGGTGGGCTCCCATTGGCTGAGTGCTGGTGGGCAGAGGTCTTCAGGATGGCTGGATCAGCTCCTGTTGGCCAAGGATTCTTCTGGCTCAGATCCCATTTGCCAGGAATGTCTTCAGGATGGGCAACAGTAGAGCCCCATTGGTCAAAGGGTCCTGAAGGTCAACTCCTGCTGGCTGAAGGGATATTCAGGATCAGCTCCTAGTGGCCAAAAGTTTTTCAGCATCAACTCCTGTTGGCCAAGAATGTCCTCCTGATGGCCAGCAACGGACTCCCATTGGCCAAAGGATCTTCAGGATCAACTTCCATTGGCTAAGAATGTCTCCCTAATGGCCAGCAATGCACTCTCATTGGCCAAAAGGTCTTCAGGATCAACTCCCATTGGCCAAGAATGTCTCCCTGATGGCCAGCAATGCACTCCCATTGGCCAAAAGGTCTTCAGGATCAACGCCCGTTGGCCAAGAATGTCTCTTGGCTGGCCAGTGACAGACTCCCACTGGCTAAAGGGCCTTCAAGATCAACTCCCATTGGTGAAGAATCGCTCCCAGGTGGCCAGCGGTGCACTCCCATTGGACAAAGGGCTTTCAAGATCAGCTCCCATTGCCCAAGAACATCTCCTGGCTGGCTAACAATAGAGTCCGATTGGCTAAGGGGGTCTTTTGGGTGGTTAAGCAACATACCCCTTATTGGCAGAGGGGGAGTGGGTCCTCTAGGTACACTCCCACTGGCTGGGGGGAGGTTCTTGGGGGAAGAGGAGGTCAGCCACGGGTTCCCATTGGCTGACAGGATATGCTGGCCCACCAGGGAAGGGCTCTTGCTGACTAAGCCTCGTTCTGATGTGTCAGGAACAGATTTCTATTGGTCGGGGGTGGACCCCCATTGGCTGGGGGATGGTTCTTCTAGGCTGCAGACTCTCCTTGGCCAAGACTGCGGTTCTCTGGTGGCCAATGGGGGTGGGCTTCCATTCGCTGAGACCCCCTAGAATCCTTCCAGCTCACCAGCAATGCTTCTCCACAGGGACTGGGGGGGGGGCGGGCTGCTAGGGGACAGTGTTACAGGGCAATGGGGGGCGGGGCCACAGTCCCCCCTGCCCCGGCATAGGCCAGTGCTCAATAGTCCTCATATCCAGGTATCCTACGGACTTCGACACCATGCAATACTTTCTACTTTTTAAGGGCTGCGGGGGCGGGGGGATGCCCAGACGCCGGGGTCCCATGTCAAAATCGGGGTGGGGGGCAGGGGTGATGAGGTCGACGTGCAAACCAGCTGGTCCCTGGGAAGGAAGGGGGGAGGGGGAAGCAGTTTACAAACAGGGAAGGGTGGAGCCAGCCGGGGGTTTCCTCCGCTGACTTCTGCCCTTCTCTGCCTCAGTTTCCCCCACCCCAGCACACTTCAAACTGGTGGGGCTTTGGGGGGAATGCATTGTTCCCCGTGTCTACAGGCATCACAGCTAGGCCAGGACAGGGGGATGTGTTCCTGCCCTGGCTCCTCTGGCACTTTGGGGGGTGGGGGCATTTCCTGCCCTGCCCCCACCCCCCTTCCTCCTCCTCATTGGGCTGTTTTTATACTGTGCATCTCTCTTGCTGCTGATTGGTGCTGCATGGGGAAGCAGGCCTCCCTCCCCCTCTGCTGGCATTGGGGTAACCACCGCGTCACCCCGTTCCAGATCTTCAGGCCATTGCATGGGGGGTGGGTGTGGGGGCACCCAGGTTTGGGCTGAAACCATCCTCTTCTTTTTCGCTGGCCCCCGCAGGGAACGCTAGGATTGCTGCCCGGCTTGTTCTGGAGCCTGGAGGTGGAAACGGAGCCAAACTGGTGCTGAATCCAGACTGGGAGTGGGCGGCCGTGCGCGTGAAGCGGAGCCAGATTGGTTCCTACGCTGGGTTCCGATTGAGAGGCTCTGTGTGCATGTGGTTGTGTGTTATGTCCCAGACCCTGGGTCCCCACACATACATGTACGCGTGTGTGCATGTGTACATCCCAGACACCTGGGTCCTGTATATGTGTGTACACACACGTTTGTGTGCCAGATAACAGGGTCTTGTGTGTATGTCCCAAATTCCCAGGGTGAGGGTGTGCGTCTCCTAGGCACCTGGGTCCCCCGTCTGCATGCTTGTGTGTGTACGTATGTGCAGGACACCTGGGTCTTGTGTATGTCCATGTTTGTGTGTCTTGGATGTCTGGTTGTTGTACGTCCCAGACTCCTGCTGTGAGGGGGGGGTGCGTGTGTGTAATGGTGTGTCCCAGACACTTAGGTCCCCCATGTGTATGTACATGTGCCTGTACATATGCATGTATGTCCTGGACATTTGTGTGCGCATGTGTAGTTTTGTGCATCCCAGATGCCTGGCTCTTGTGTGTATGTCCCAGACTCCGGGGGGGGGGCATTGTGTGTGTCTGCAACAGATTTGGTTCCTGCTCTGTATTCTAATAGGGTGAGGGGTGCGTGTGCAGGGGTGTCCCAGACACCTGGGTCTCGTGTGTATGCATGCGTGCATGTCCAATGTGCCCTGGGTCCTCTGTGTGTGCACACGTTTTCGTGCATCCCAAATGCCTAGGTCTGGTGTGTTATGTCCCTGGGTTCTGCGGGTGGGTGGGTAGGAGTCCTGGATGCGTGTCCCAGACAGCTGGGTTGCATGTGTGTGCGAGTGAGTCCTGGATACGTGTCCCAGACAGCTGGGTTGCATGTGTGTGCGAGTGAGTCCTGGATGCATGTCCTGGGTTGCACGTGTGTGTGGGCTAGGAGTCAGGACTCCTGGGTTCTTTCACCAATCCAGTCTGGTTGCCGAGGCCACCGGCGTGACCTGAACTACACTAGTTCACAAGTCCATGTTCAGAGACAGCTCACAGATGTGGGCCAGGCCAGGTCTCAACCCCGATTCTGCCTAAGTGTGTGACCTCAGCACATCTGGATTCCGATTGGCTGGGGGCTCCATAGGCATGCAAACGTAGTAAAATCCAGGTTCCCCTTGGGGCTCCAGATCCACTTTGCAACCAGCAGGCTCATGTGAATAGAGCTAAACTGGTTTGCAATCTGGATTCCAACCCGGGGCCCTGTGCAGATGTAGCTCTGTGTTCTCCTCCAACTGGAAGCGAAGCTGTGGCAACACCTCTTTCATCCCAAACAGCCAAACTTGTTTAGGAACTGGTTCAGTATTTGAAGGCTGCTTTGAGTGGCTGTGTAGACGAAGTGGTACATAATTAAAATGTAGGGGGGTAGGGCCATGGGTGGCTTCAGAGAGCGCTAGGTTATGCCAAAAAAAAAAAAAAAAAAGGAAAAAAAAAAAAAAAGGAAATGTTAAAAGGTGAAGAAACCAGTTCTCCCATGTTGGGAGAAAAGGAACGTATTTCACTTGTGCTTCTCCCGAGAGGGGGGGGTGCTATGGGGCGGGGCAGAAGTAGGGGGCCGGCGTCCGGCCTCCACTACCCCTCCATCCAGCCAGTCTTGTCTCCGTTATCTCAGGGTTAAAAAAAAAAAAAAAAAGCCGAACACGGCCTCGTGTTTGCGCCTTCGTGCTGAAGCGCCGGACGTATCTTTTTAAACAAAAAAGAGCAAAATAAAATTTAAACAAAAAAAAGAGACCCACGAGGATTGTGTATGTGAAAAAATATAAACGCTGAAGAGCAAGACGCGAAAAAAGAACCAACAAGGAGAAAATACCCTCAGCGGGGTGATGGGTACGTCTGCTAGCGGGCCCTCGTTGGATGGTTGCTCTTGGCTTCGATAAAGCAGAGGTGGCGGTTGGGCGTGTTGTTTTTTCCCCGTTGGGTTGTCGGTCTTTCTAGGTCGTCGTTCGCCTCCACTCCGGTTCAGGTGGGGAAGACCGCTCACGCTTTACGTGGTAGAGCAGACATGGGAAAGTTGGAACCACCCAAGCAAAGTCAAGACCGCCACTGTCCTGTTTTCCGAAGGGCCACAAAACCTCTCACTTGAGTGTGTCACTCCGGATACAGGCAGCGTAGAAACAGGTCGTGATGGGAGCCAGGACTTCCAGTTGGGCACTGTTCCGCTTATATTCCCACAATGCCCTATTACCTCATTTTTCCAAATGGGTGTCACCCATTTGGAGGGGCTCAGCTCATGCGGATAGGTTTAATCTGGTTCAAAGCCCTGTGGAGAAGAGGCAGTTGAGTGGACACGGACCTGGCTTAAATTCAGATTAAAAGCGGCTGTAATGGTTTAATTAGATGCTCAGGTTAAATCTGGAGGAATTTGGGAGACCGGAGAGAGGTGGAGGACGGAGTAGCGTCACTTGATGTCCTCAATTCTCCTAGGGCCTAGATACTCTATTGTCTAAATCCATCTCCTCTGATGTTGTCCTGTCCAACTGTCTGTCCCCACATGGCTGTCAGGGGAGGAAGTTGGCATTGGCTTGGTTTCCCGAGGTCATAACCAATCTGGGGGCCAGTCAACCGCCATAAGCCAACCAGCTGAGGTCTACCTCGTTGCTGATCCCCTTGTGGTGGGATGCGGATTCCTCCCAGAATTCTGTGCCAGGTCCCACGTGCATCCGTGCCTGGTCCAGCCAAATTGGCACCTATGCCACGCTTTGCCTCCACGTTGCACCTGGCAGCCATTTCTTCCAGCCTGTCCCCGCAGGAAAGCATTGCCAAAGACATCTGTGGGGGTGGTGGAGATGCCAGGGCTGTCATGAGAGGCCATCAGCTCGTACAACCGTGGCACAGCAGACGCTACCACCCACCACATGGCACTGTTGGCAGACACACGAGTGACACCAGAGATACTAGAGCTCACAGGCAGGTGGATGTGGTTCAGTATGAAGACGACTCAGGGCCCCCCAAAACTTGCCACGGAAGCTCCCCAGTTTGAGGGGAGCGATCAAGGAGGAGACAGGACAGAAAACACAACACGTGGCCTTGATTCTCCTCCAGCAGGGGGCAGCGTGTGATGAGACACGCCTCCCGCAGGGCCCCATCCCAAGCCCCGGGGTTTTTCTTTATTATTTATCATCCTCGCAATTCCAGAACATTCCCTGCCGTTCACATCCCAAATGTAGTACAGGCCGAAGCCCTGGCAGGTCGGGGGGGTGGGGAGCAAGGCTGAGAACAGCACCCCCCAGAGGAGAGAGCTGCACACACGATTAAAAAGACCCCCCCCAGGTTAGAAAGATGCAGTAGTGAGTGCTGGGGTTCACGCCCCCATCAGCTCCCACACCCTCCACCTACCTCCCAGAGGAGGGGGGTCATTGCAGTATACCCCAAAATTGTGGGGGGGGGTCTCTAATCACTGCCTCAAAGGGGATCTCGTGTGTTGCCTTGGTGGAGCGGGGGGTTGGGGAGGTCAGTCCCAAAGCCGCCACTAACCTCTCACCCCATCAGTTTTGCTCAGGTGCAGCATCCTCGAAGAGGCTGAGGAGGCTCCGGGGCTCAAAGGAGGAGCGGGGGCTGGGGTCTTCATCCTCCCCAACTCCAGCCTCCTCATCCTCAAAGCCGAGGGTCCGGCCCCTA